CCCTCTATCACCAGGCTGGAGTGCAGTGGTGTGATCTGAGCTCACTGTAACCTCTGCCTCCTGGGTTCAAGTGATCCTCCCATCTCAGCCTCCTGAGTACTGGAACCACAAGTGTGCACTACCATGCCCAGCTAATTTTTGTATTTTTTCTGTAGAGATGGCATCTCACCATGTTGTCCAGGCTTACTTTTATTTTTAATTAGAAAGTTTCTAAAGTTTAATTTCAAATTTGCATATACATTTATCTGCTGAAGTCTACAATAGAGTGATAAATAGGATAAAATTTGTCATGTGAAATAAAATGGGATAGCACAGGTTCCAGAAGGAAAAGGAATACTGCAAATTTCCAACTGTTTAAAAGAGCTTGCATTTATCTTTCTTTAATGAAAGAGAGTGAGGGTCAAATTGCTGTGGATTAGATTTCATTGGCTACACTTGGAAGAATGAGAGAACATTTGAACTGAAATGTCAATATTTACAACACACCAGAAATTAAGTCCTTTAAATAATTATAATTTTAAAATTCAGATATAAATTTTCAAATGTGTTAGAGGATGTGTCATTTTTTTAAATTACTTTAACTAGTATACAAGCAAGACATAGGCTATATTTTTTGAAATAATAATTTGAAGGCAGAAAGCTGCAGTAGAATATGAGAGACAAGGAAAATCACCCCTCTTCTTGAAGTTTAGCATATACTGGGGGCAAAGAGAAGTTTTGTAAGGGTTAAAAGAAAAAAAGTATATGAAAGCACCCGACTTGGAACCATCTCAGACCAGGGATCTGATACAACATAGTTTCCCTTACATTTAACTAAAGTCCCTTTGTTGCACTGAAATCACATGTTCTACTCTTTTATACAGGGGAAAAAATTACATTACTTTCATTAATATCTCTTCATAACCTAAAGAGAGTTAAATCACCTTTCCCGTTTCTCTTAAATTCTAAATAAACCATCAAATGATAATTTTTTTAGAAGAAGAAGAAAGAAAGGAGAAGGGAAGGGAGAAAGGAAGAAAGGGAGAGAGGAAAAGAGGGAGCTTTTAAACACTATAGCGCTGCTTTCCGAAACCAAGCAACTGGGATAACTTTTGTGTTGATTTAAGCACACATTTAGCCAAATGAATTTTCCATTGTCCCCACCTGTTTCCCAAATAATTTCAACTGTTTTGCCTTTGACCTGCTTTGGCCCAATCCCATATAAGTCTGTGCTCTCGGAATATCCACTTGTGGACTCCTCCACCACAGGGTTGCCCTTAGCAGCAGCTGGGAAAACTCTTGGGGAACAGCTGGTGTCCAGGACCCCACAGCTCTGCCATCACCCAGAGTGTCAGTTTTCTGCAATCACAGGCTTTGGGGGACACATTTCTATAAAATAACACTTCACATTTGTGTAGCATTCTGCTGCTGATGGATAACTTTCACAATCATTATCTTGTTTGCCCTCACTTGGTCATGAGGAAAACCTGGCAGACTCTCTAACATCATAATGTATCCCAAGACTGCCAATGGGGGAAAAATTTTTAACTCTCAAGACCCCATTTCCTTACTACACAATGAGAAGCCCAGACTGGATGTCCCCTTAAAATGTATAATTGTGGGCAAATGCCTCAAACTCCATCTACCGCTGAATCTACCTGCATGAAACCCAAATTGTGCCTTCCTCACACCACTTACTGCTTACCCATCCAAAGGACAACTAAAACAACAAACACGAAAACCAGAGAAGCTGTTGCATTTAAATCTTCCAAACAAACCTAGTAAGAGAGGTGACCGGGTTATTATTACCTCTGGATTTTAGAAGAGGACATTAAGGTGAGAATCAACAACTTCTGGCAATTACACAGTAATTGCAAACCCTGCCTTCTAGTTCAAGAAAACTAAACCATCTTGCAAACAAAAAAGTTAACGAAAGTTAACTTCTGACACGATCTTCATGGGTATCCAGCTCCACAACACTGACAGCTGTCAACCATTTGGTTAGAGGCAGGATAATCAACTAGGGCACATGATACTTGAGTTTATCTCTGGTCTACACAAGCCAGTTCGTGGAGCCATACATGTATCTACATCAAACTTGACATTTTGAGCACATTTTCAAATTGCTAATTCCTTAAAAGCAGAGATGGTGTCTAAATTGAAGCCTTCACCTCTAAGGGGCTCTGCCCTGTTTGTGCCCTGCAAATACTTGTTGATTTGTTTCTACTGTATTGGGGTGGGTCTCTCCTTGACAACTGGGGGCCACATTTAGCCAAGCAGCTGCCCACTGGCATCTAAAGCCTGCAACATGTAGTTCTGGCAGCATCTGAAAGGATTTATTATTACCATCCCATGATTTCAGTATTATTACTATCACCCTTATGAAAGTCAGTGGCTGAACCCACTATAAAGCATTAAAACTGTTTTTATAATGGAACAGTCTATTTTCTGCATTCCCCCATTCCCACAGTTATGGGGTTTTTTCACCCAGTTTCTGCTCACTATTGTAGGGCTCTAAGAGATGGCCTGCAGCCACAAATAAAACAGCCTGAATACTCCCTTCACTATTATCACCCTGTCCCAGTGGTGGCCTTGGGGAAGAGAAGGCTCTTCAAGAGGCTCATAACCAAACAGGAGGCAATCATGATGCCTGTGTGTAATACAAAGCACACTTACCTAGGAGTCAGGAGATGCTGGTTCTGTGACTAAGGGCAAGACTCATTGCTAAACTGGGCTTTGGTTTCCTAACATACTAAGTGAGTAAGTAATTAAGTAAGATTGTCCTGAAGAATTCTTCTTGCTCAGGCCAGCTCTAATTTAACCTTTTTTCCTGGCTTCTGGAGATTTCCACAGGGAAGATCATCTCACTGGGAAAGATCTCAGGAAGAGACCCCACTCCTCACTTTCACTCCCAAACACTGCATCATTTTAAAATCAACCTGATTTACGTAAGAATTTAGAGAACAAAAAAGTAGTTCTTTATCAGGAAGTCAAAATTTCTGGCCTAAAATGTGCTGAGGTGAAAAAATATTTAATGAGGAATCCTAAGGCTTGAATTTGATCCCATATTTTTCAATAGATGACCTCATCTGTTTCCATGTGGTCCTCAGCAAGTCCACTCATTGCTGTGTATCTCTAATTCATCATCTTCCAAATTTGAATATCAGTACCTTTGGCTTACTCACTCAAAATAGTGCATGAAACTCATAAGAATTTGTGACTTGAAAACCTAAAGTATAATCCTATATATAGATAAATTATTAAATTAACATCAGTTCCCTCTTTTGAACAGAGAAAAATCTCAGAAGAACTAAAGGCTTGACACAATATTCAGAAGATGTTTATCCTCCTATTAGTAATGTGCCTGTTGGGTTTGTATTTTGTATTCTGTTGCAGAGTTTTAGTCTTTTAGGGACCCTTTTGATCCAATCTGATTTTAACAACCATTCATTGAGAGGCCACTGTGTCCTCATATTGTGCTGCAAACAAGAGAATAAATCAAAATAAGTATAAACTTGACCTCCATAAGTTAACAGAGTTGTGAATTCTAGACTTACATAAAAAGAAATTATTTTTTAAAAATTTAAACAGGATAAAGACATGTTAACGTGTATCTAGACCCATTACAAATGCACAATCGAGTCAAGGTGGAATAAAGCTTTCAGTAAGTGTAAAAAATGATGTTGAGTAGACTTTAAGGCCAACTATGTGAGGGAGACAGAATCGGTGATGGACTGTGAATGAGTGGGGCTAGCAGTTTTCTACATTTATAACAGCAGACCTTCAGTAACACATGCCAGAAAAAAATAATAATAAAAAGACTTAATATTCTGAGGATTGGAGAGAAATGTCTATTTCTCTCTGAATATTCAATAGCAACAAATTTCATGCCATGATTATTCCAATATTAATTATCAAACCATCCAAATTCATATGCATTTACAGAAACTATATGAAAACAGAATAGCACTACTCTTTTTAAATATAAGTGTGTAGTCTAAAGGAACTCTTTAAAAAATTGTCATCTCCTACCATGAGTATACTTTCCCAGAATGGCTGGCTCTTTATGCTCGAGGCCTTCCCCAGGCTGACCCCTTCACAAAGGTTGGATCTAGCCACAGGTTAATCAGTATTTCCTGATCACACTCTGCTCATTTCTGCCTCTATGTCTTTGCGCAAGCTGTTCCCACATCTGAGAAAGCCCTTCCCTCCCTCTCTCTCTCTATACATATATAAACTGTCCCTATCATTCAGGACCTAGCAGAAACCCATCTCCTCCACGAAGCTTTTACCACCTGTCCCATCACTCACTACTCTCTGCTTCTGAATGCCAATAATGCTTATCTTCCATTTTATCAGTCTGTAAATATTATATTTTATATGTGTGTATGTGTATGTGCGTGTATTTCCCCCAAATTCAAGTCTTATCCCCAAAAGAGCCTGTAAGTCTCTCAAGAGCAGGGAACATAAATACCTTATTTCTAGTGCTGAATATGGTACACTGTGACTTGACAGGCAGTCACTAAATACATGTTATCAAGCATCCAGTCAAGCCCCAAACGACCCATATTTTCCATAACTCCACTACAACTACCTCCCACTTGAAAAATGGCCCAAATAAGTTATTAACAAGCTTGAAGAGTTGTATCTGAAGTCGTTTATACTCATACAAGCTAAAAGAACCCCAATATCAAGAGACAGAGATTTGTTCATTTGAAAACATTAATGTTCTAACTCTTTAAAATAACACATGCATCATTTCAGTATATTCCATCAACAGAGGCATTAATATAGATTTGCCTATCTGAAAAAGGATTTAGCAGAGATCGTTTCTCCTTGCAACGGGACAGCTGAAGAGGTGTAATTTAACAGCTTTCAGAGGCCCGTCACTAGGGTGATTGAGGTGGACAGAAGGCATGGACAGGACCAAGTCCCTTAAAAGACACAAACAGGTGGGAGAGTGTGCTGGGGGTGGGCAGAGGGCTGGAGAGTACAAAAGGAGGAGGCTCCCTTAGGAGAGCAGAAACAAGAGGAGGCAGGGAGTGAAACTGCCCGAGGAGGAGAGGAGAGGAGAGGAGAGCAGGGGAGAGGAGAGGAGAGGAGAGCAGGGGAGAGGAGAGGAGAGGAGAGCAGGGGAGAGGAGAGGAGAGGAGAGGAGAGGAGTGGAGCTGTAGCTAGGTCACATATGGACAGGAACCAAGTGGAGAAATGGGTGGACAGGGCACAAATGGGGGAATGACAGCCTATTCAGTGAGGATAGGAAATGCACATAAAGGACAGATGAAGATGATTTCTCTGTGTGTGACTAGAAGGACAGCGATTACAAAGATAAGAGTGAAAGAACAGGGAGGAAAGGGGAAAAGGGAATAAGTAAGAAGATGAAATAAGCAAGGAATGTCCAAGTACTGATATGAAAGCTCAGAAAATCACCAGGCTATTAGGCTGAGCCAGAAGAAGAGCCACAGCCGTACCCAAGAGGGGACCATTGGAAAGACAGAAGCAGGCAATTTAAGTAGCTAGCTACTGGGGTAAAATGAAAAAAATAGAAGATGGAAAAGGTGAGAAGCAAAAGAGGGAAAACCCAAAGGAGACACTGGCCCAGAAACCTTTTTAACTTTCTGTAAGAATCTTCAAGTCCCCAAACTAGGCCAAGATTCTGACTGACATTTCTGAGCTCACCAGCTGCCGTTTCCTTGAGAGAATTCTGACAGGAAGGCATAGAAATGTGAGCCAACACTGCCAGCTCTGGAAAATAAATAAATAAGTAAATAACTGCCCACATCCTAAACACCTCAGTGGGGGCCGAAGCCTGCTGGGAAGGAAGCCCAGAGAGGAGGAGGGACCCGCCTGCAACTTTTCCCCAGGTATGTGCTGAGCTTTCCCGGCGCCGCGCTGTTTTCTCCTCTAATCGTCCTCTGGCCGTTCCTGCCTTGCCCATCTGTCTTTCTTTCTTTGTGAATTTTTGGGAAGCCCTGCGGGCGATCTGCTTCTGTCATCTGAAGCCAGCAAGGCAGCGTCTACCGAAGCAGGTGAAGCTCCAAGTTCTGCATCTCAGACAGCGGGGGAGGACAGCTGGAGTCCAGATCCGACAGGCAGAGCCAGGCAGGGGGAAATGAATAAGAGAAAGGCCCCCCACCCCCAGACTCAGTGCATGAGAATGACTTGTTGGCCAGTATTGAACAGTGGACTTGTTTCTGGGTGCTGGGGCTTGAAGCAAAGCAGAAGGGTAGGAGGGTGGGCCTAGAAGACAGAGGGATAATGAAGGGCAGCTCCAGAGGGGAGAGATTTCAAAGTAATCCCCCAAAGGGGCTGGTCAGTTACCTAAAGAAGAGCTACCAGTGAGGAGAGATGGATAAAAACCTGAGAGCATGTGACCTTGAACTTGTGTCTTGTCCTTTGAATGCCTTGGCAAAGTATTTTGCATATCGATTGAATTTTTTTCCCAAGCAGCTCAAAGGAATTTATTTTTAATATGTAATTTATCTCAAATATTCAATTTCTGAATGGGGATGAGTTTTCAGATGACCCCATAGGTGTCCCCACTAAGATAATTTAACTATTTCACTAAGAAATTAAGTCCCTGAGCAATGTATTTATTTGGAAAACTAGGACAAGAACCCCATGCTCCTGACTTGGTCCCTGGACCTTAAGCAACTTTAATCCTTACTCAATTTAATAGGTGCAGATAAAAAAATTTTAAAAAGCTTTTCAAGTAAGAGCTTTGGGAGCTATAATTAAAAGCTTCATCATTATTCTGTATTATTACATTGTATTATATTTATGATCTCGCTGCAAATGTGATAAAAAGTTAAGTGAGTCAGTGGACTCTGCTGGGCTATCTTCTCAAGAAAAACACACATCTCATTTTATACTCATTCTTCACCTAAACTCACAGAAGACTTACTGGTAAAATTTGGAAACCAATGAAATCACTCCTGGTGGCAAGCAACTGCTCAAGCCAAAAATACCAAGTGACTTCCAGCGGTATTTCCGTCTCCTTGGAGTGCTGACTGCCTGTCTGCACCCTCATCAGGGAAAGCACCTACAACCATGCCCTTGGAAAGGGTTCACACCTTCCTAACTTCTGTGTGGTTTCTATTCCTCTCCCTCATCTGTTTGCTTTTAGGAAGCTCAGAATATAAGCGTCAATTTTTTGCCCTCAAGCTGTGGAGTGTCAGAAACATTGACCTACAGCAGTGGTTCTCAGAATGTGGGCCCCAGACCAGCAGCATCAGCATTACCTGGGAACATGCTAGAAACGAACATTCTCAGTTCCTACCCCCAGTTCCTGAATCAGAAACTCTGGGGATGACACTCAGCAGCCTGTGTTTCAGCAAGTTGTCCACGTGATTCTGATGCACTAAATTAATTAGAAGGTTAAGAGTTTTTAAGGCGCTCTTCCTGGAATCCACAGTATTAAGATCTCCTTACATGCTAATCATCTACAGAGCTAGAGCTTGTAAAAGAGACCTTTCAACAATAACAACAAAAACACACAACCTCCTGGTTCCTCCATCCCTCCATCTGTAAAATAGAACTATTTCTAATATACTTGTTACAGTGCTTAGAACAGGACCTGCACACTGTAAGTGTTCTGTAAGGGTGGTGGAAGTGGTGGTAGTGGTGGTAACTTTATCCGTTTGACTCTTACTGTGCAAAAGGCCTTTGGCAGGTGGTTGAGAAATCAAACATGAAGCAGTCAGAGTGCTGGCCCTCTAGGAGAAGAGTTACATATGCATGACAGGCACACGAGGAATTAGATGCAAGATAAGGTGTGATTCATGCCCAATTACAGACATAGGAACTAACAAGAGGAAGAGAATTGAGAGAAAATTTTGGGAAGAAAATGGTTTTTGAACTAAGCCTTAAAGAAAGTAATTTTAACTAGTGAAATGGGCAAAGGAAAAGAATATTCCTGGTGGAAACTGAGCCTAGGGAATATTGGAAAGGTAAGATATTAGTGGTCAGCTGTAGCATTTCTGTCACTGAGATGTTGACTACTCATATTGTACAGAGGGATCACCCTGTTCTGGATCTAACCATTTATCACCATGTTTGCAGAAATTCATCCTTTAATCCAAACTAAGTTATTTTCTTCGGACTATTGTGAAGTGAGTCCTTTCCAGGATTAATGATTTTATTACTATAGAATCCATATCCCTTTTTCTTGTTTGTTTTTAGATCAATGTTTTTCAAAGTCTTCTGGCCACTTGTAACAGACTAAAATGGCAGGGGTTGGGAGGATGGTGGTGTGCAAAAATGCAGGTTCCTGGGCCCTGACCCAGGTCACTTATCTCACTGCCTGTCAGATCAAGTCAGAAGAATCTGCACAGAAAGAGCCGTTCTTTCCTAAATTTGCTGAGCATAGAAGTCACCTAGGAGTAGATCCCCAGCAGATTCTGATCCCATGGCTCTGAAATGTAGTGCTCCCCTACCAGGAAGCAAGGATTTTAATAAGTGCCTCAGAGATACCAAGAATCAGGCAAGGTTTAATACAGCGTATTAGAATAAATGAGTGCTTTGGGTGAGAGAGTAACATCAAGTCAAAGGTCTGCCGTTTACTTGCTGAATGATTTTAGCAAGTTTCTTAGCCACTCTGTCTCCAAATTACTTAGCCTGCTTATGGCAGTTCTACCCTGTGTAATAAAATGTCTTTCACAAGATTGTTGTAAGCATAAATCCTCTAAATAAGTGGCTTAGTATAATGTTGGCTCCCTCTCTTCCCCTTGCCCTACCCTCTCCTGAAGTTCCAGCTTCAATTCTCGTGGATGAGAAGCAGGGCAAGGACAACTGTGATGGTGAAATGCCACTGATACCTCTTCTGGGGACGGTGGCAGAATGCCAGCAGGAAGAGAAGGTGGGCTCTTGGAGCTGGCACTGTTCTTGGCTGTCCCTGGGAAGTTAAATGGGACTCATGCCTATGATCAAATCAACATTCAGAACTGGCCTGTTCTCTAAAAATAGCAAGGCATTCTGGCTGAGCCCCAAGAAAAATAAGGTCTTTCCCCAACATACTACCCCATGCTTGCCTTAAAAGGAGGGACCTCTACTTTATTTCCGATCTCCTCAGCCAGATGACGGTAAACCCCAAATAATTTGGCTTTTACTTGGTGAGCAGCAGAATCACTTCTGTTTCATGGACAGCCACCAAGAACACCAGGAATAGATACCAGTGCTTAATGTCATAAGACGTCAGACTTTGAAGTGGATGCATCAGTGCAGGCCATGCCTTCTGCAGACACTAATAGGGTTCTAATTCTCATAAAATCATGCAATTCTCATTACATTTTAGCCAACTAGTATCAGTTGTTTAAAACTTCCAATCTTCACCAGGGGCAGAGAAGGAATAAGGAGAGCTAAGATGCCTGTATTAGAAATTCAGAGAGGCAGCTACAGGTATTGTTCTGCATAGAATCCGGGTTTTCTACCCTCACCAGCAAAGGATAGACAAACTAAGGTCAGATCTGACATCAGAGGGAAAACACCATGTGGCCAGTAAGGGGACATTCTGAGCATCTCATCACATATATCCTTTCACAAAAACTCCTAAAAATAAGACTGGCATCCTGGACATTCAGAACTTATAAAGATTCTTGTCAGAAATGATACTGATGAATACCTTTCCTTAACAAATCCTTTTAACACATATGAAAATCTTTTTAAATATCTTTAAAAGCACACCAAAATTGTGAAAGGAATGTTTCTGATAATATTTATGCTTTCTCAAGTATCTTTGAATAATCCCTTACATAAAAAACAATTGTCATGTTAATGAAACCCTTTAAAGTAAATCAAATATAAGGATTTCTATGTAGTAAGTAGATTCCATTGATGGATTAATACTAATTAATATGTCAATTGCATATTAATTAATAACACATAATTATTAAGTTTATTACACTGATTGTATATTAGTAATAGATAGTTAATAATAGTAATAGAGGCTCTTTGTTAGACTTCAAATACTATGCTCACGGCACATTACATAAATCTAATTCCTCCCATTGAAGAAGCACTACTGGCCGCACTTTACAGATGAGGAAACTGAGACTGAAAGAGGTTAAGTAGCTCACTCAAGTCACAGATGTCCAAGACATGCTATTTCTCCCTGAACCCCTCCATGGCCAATAACCTTGAAGATTGCAACACTTGTTTGTCTATAACTCAGTCTCCCCTCAGTCTCAACCTGTCCTTAATTTTACCCAAATCCAACAGGCTTTCTAAGGACTCTTAATGAGAAATGAGCATCCTCCTGTCTTTTTAATATGTTGAGTCATTTATGTTCAAACGCTGCCCTGCTCAGCAAAATAAACTGAAAAAGAACCATTATTGCTGTTTCTGCTTTTGAGGCTACTTTTTAACTGTTACTTAAGTCTGGAATGCTTTTAAATGGTGCTTGCTTCTCAGGACAAGAGAAAGGACATGTTAGTAATTTAAGTTGTCTGATTATGAGGCAGGGCTGGGGTGTGGAATAAATCTTGTTTTCAATGACATGTTGAATGACATTTTACATTACCATTGGCCCATTCTCCTAAGAAACTCAAGATATTCACATGTGTTATCTCATTAATCTTCAACCCATTCTTTGGTGGGCAGCTGGGGACACAACTGCTATTTATAGAGAAGTGGCATGGGATTTGGTATAGGAGTGAGAACAGAAAGCTGGTGATTTGGTCACTATCACCCAGCACACAAGTGGCCAAGTGACACACCACATCTCCCAATTCTTTCCATTAATAGTGCCTACTAAAGTCAAAAGATTTGGGTAGATAGGAAACCAAATAAATAACCTGGAAAAATCCCACATCCAATTGCCATATAGATGCCCTTTTCTATATGCAAAGCACAGAGAAATGTGTCTTTATGTTTTCCATCCTAGATTTCTTTTCCCGCTATTTTGTCTTGTCTGAAATATGTTGGTTTTGTCATAGTTTGTCTTTCAAGTCTACCTTTCTCTTCATTTTCCAACCTGTTTCATGACTTTTCTTCCTTGTATCTTAAGCTAGATGTCCAGGAAAATGGGAGAAAGGTTTAGACAAGGCGTTCATCACAGATATTCCCATTTCAAACTTTCTCTTGACTTTCAAAAATCTCTCTGCATTCTAAATTTATAAGAATTTAGTTGCCTGGACTCATGAATTGTCAAGCAATTGGTTATTAACATTTGTTTTTCTCCTGCAGATTTTGCAGTAAACTTTTACGTAATCTTTTCGCCCTACAAGGTTAGACTTGGCAAAGCCAAAACAATTCACACCCAAATGTTGGGGACAGTCTGACGGGATAGTTTGTACTCTCTTCGCTATCTCAGCTATTTTCCCTGAAAATCTTTTTCTTTTGTATTCTTACATGAGTTTATGAAGTTCATCACTGGCTCATGGATAGCAAGTCTCTTAGAACATAAAACTCAATGGTTCCTCTCATCGGTGCAAACCCTCACTCCTCACAACTCACATGCCAAACACTTATGGAGGATCTCCATCTGACAGGTGTAACTAGATAAAATGGACATTTACTCAGCTCTTAAGTTCCCTGGTTCTGTGAAAAAAAATGAGAAATTTTAATTTCTCAGAGGCACAGCGACATCTCTTTCCTCTTTTGACCAAGCTGCCTCCCTGCTATCAGCCCCTGATAAAACAGTGTTTTTGGTTGTCCACTGTTCCCAAAGTTAGAGGACGAAGGGTAGCACCAAACTCTCACTTCTATGAAGCTCATACCTGACAAAGGGAGAAAACAGTGTTTTCAGAGCAGAAGCTTATATAGCGACTGGATGGGATTAAATGAGCCATTGGATGATTCCCAACATCAGCCTGAAAGATGTTGACAGGCATGCCAGAGACATTTTCCTATTTTCCTAAGAAACAGTATGGTTTCTAAGCCACCTCCATCAGCAACACCCCAAACACAAAGTCACAAAAGCATAAAGGTACACCAAATCAAAAACCCATAGAATTTTCTTTCCTTCCTTCTCAACATTTTTTTTCTAAGCCTCTCTCCATGGGTTAATTCAAAACTGTGTCTCCAATCTGATTAGTTTTTTTAAAAGAATTACCATTTAAAAATATGTTAATTAATTCATTTCTACAATCCTCATTTTCCTCCTCTGTAAAATCAGATAAAATTGCTACATTTCATAGAGTAGGTAGGATTCAAGGAGATCACATAGGCAAAGCACTGAAATGATCCTTTTATAGAAAGCATACTTATAAAAAGTTACCTCTTATTTTTATTACTGGGATTAGATGTTTTTAACCACCACAGCCAGTGCTGCGAGACTCAGACCTTTTTGGGGGGCCAACTCTTCCCTTTGGCATCGTTTTCCCCATTTTCTGGCAGAGAATCAGATACCATTTCAAAACTTCATCTCCCTCCAGCCAGGGTGGCCTTCCAGACCCCGAGTGGCTCAACAGCTGCCAATGTCCCTCACCCTTCTGTGGCTCAGGCCTCACAGATTGTGGGGCAGGTGATGGGCTAGGGAGAGCAGAATCCTGACAAAAGGATCCTTCCCACAAAGAACAATTTGTGCTTGGAATG